CCCCTCGAAAATGTACGAAATTAAACGTAATTACTCTCTATAAAATCATTATTGCTCAGACAGACCATAATTTTTATGGCATTCAATTTTGTTCTGTTACAGAGCTCTCAAAGAGAAAGTCAGACCCCTCCTGCCACACCCTCTCTTTCACAATTGGTTGATAGTTCTCTCTTATGCTTCATTATATATTATGTGTAACCAATAGAAAATCAAGGTTTTCATCTATCAAATGTCATTTTCTATAACATTGTGTTCTGAACAGATAACCGCCAATGTCAATCGGAGTAGCAATTTCGTTTCAGTGAAAAACTTGACGACTAGCTTGGATGAATTTGTAATGGCTCGTCTCATAGTTAGAAAGCCAGGAAACTTTTTAGAAGTAAGTGAATTTGTCTACTTTTTGCATTATTAGTCTATATTCTTTGGTGTATTATTTAAGTAAACAAAAATTATTAAGTGCTTTACCATAATCACTAAAAAAATTAGGCTTAACTCTACTCGACAATCGAGGGCAAGAAAACAGAAGATTAGGTAAGTATTTTATTTCTTGTTTTTCATATTCATTCTTTATTTATTATTATAAAAGTAACTAAAATTAAAAGTACAGATCTTTTTAAGTTATTTAAGACTAGAATAGGTAAAATAAGTAATAATTATAATATAATCAAAATTGTTCACGAAGCATGCACGCGAGCAGCTCGGGGGTAATGTAATTCGATAGCATAATGTGAGCTGCATATTCCCAGAATGATTTACAACGTATAATAGCATGGATAGCAGTTAGACACGATTCAGAGGGCAAGAAAACAATAAAATTTAATTATAAATAGATGAATAATGTTACGAACTTAGAGCTACTTAGAATAAACGAATGTAGTTTCAGGTTACAATTTGAAATCATACTAGAAATAAAAAAATTTTAATTTATGTTTATTTTTATTTTTTTTGGTGGTTACAATGTCAGTCGAATTGACTGATCCAGTTTTGAGATTAGGGTAGAGAAAATAACATATAAACTATAAAGATTTAGTGAAAGAAAACGTTTGAAATGCATTTAGGAGATTTTTAAGGATTACACAAAGTAAATTTGAGATTTTTTGAGATGGCGAAAAGTATTTTTAATTTTAACATGAAAATTACTTTGCGCACAAACTATTCAAAACAAATACTCAATATATTCATGGACAAAACTTTATTTTATTTTATTAAAAGTACTTCACTAAGAAATATGATTTTTGGTATGTGATAGACTTGTAATATTAACTGAAAGACTGCCAAATTTCGTAAAGATATACCCAACACATAGAGAGTTATAAGTATTAAATTGATGTCAACTTTAAACGAGTAAAGAAGGTCACATGACTCGGTCAAATCAACCGACCCCAT